CGTATTTGACCAACCGTGGTTTTCTTGACGATAAATACTATATGATCGAAGCAAAGACACGACGCCAAAAAGAAAATTGTAGCTGCAATTGCTTTTTAATGAACGATTAAGTCTTTCTCCCAAAAATTTTATGTAATTACGCGAACCCCGCATAATATGGAAAAAGACTTGCAGCGTAATTCGAATCACGAGACAAGTGCGTTACGGCAAGATAGGTCGATGATGAGTGAAAAGTTACGTTTAAAAATATTTAATGTTTATAAAAGTAATATCTGAGAATGAATATCGAGCATTGTTAAAACGTTCCGATTATCCAATGTTATTTCCTACAACAATATATCGCGCCGTTGTTCGCGCACGAAACTCGTGTCACATTCCTGCGCACGCCAAGCGAAGACTTTGGTTCTCTTCCATTTAAAAATCACCATCTGTATAACATTCTTCTTTTTCATTTGCTCACATATGATTTATCGTTGGAAAACGCCGTGCGGAAAACTGTCAACAATTACGGGTTTTGAATGTTTTTTTTTTTTTTCGAAAGTGGGCACGCTTTTGCAGCCTGAAACTCGCGGAGCGCGCGCGTGTTCAAGCGGGGCAGAGAGAAAAGGGTGATGATTGAAGATAGGGACATAAGGAGGGGGTCCGGATTGAGGGATGAGAGAACGTGATAAAAGCGAGAGGAAGAACGAGAACACACGTAAGACCATCTTCTCTCTTTGTAAACGCGGAACGTTACTCGCTGTCGGAGGTAAAGGGGATGATTTTGAGCGTGATATCGCGAAGCGACTGATCGGGCCACGGTCTTTCCCTCTTTCTTTTTCTCTCTCGTAACGGCGACATATTTTCTTTATTAGATACCGTAAACATCCAGTATCGTGCATCCGCGTGCATCCGCGTGTGTATACGTGCGTTATACATACGCGGAGGCAACGACGGACGTGGCCAGTCGCGTCGTTCGGGAGTTCATACGTATGCGTGTAAGCGAGCATATGTATACGCAGATATCACATACACACGTATACATATGTGCGTACTTTTACGTACGCTTTTCTATCTTCGTCTCTTTTCCTCATCTCTTTCTTTGTGTACATCCGCGCGCGCGTGCGTCTGTTCCGCGTGTGTGTGTGTGCGTGTATGTACGTTATATGTATGTATGTGCGCGCGCGCGCGCGCGCGCGCGTGTGTGTGTGTGTGTGTGTTTGAGAATGTCTCCGTTTACATGCGTATCCGTATCGACTGGTGACCCCGTTAGTTAGCTCGCTCGCTAACAGGCCTCGTTTGCCTCGCTCGCTCACTCTTACTTTCAGTTCGCGAGCGAAAGTAAAGGCCTAATAAAAAGCCCGCAAACTGGTTTTTCAGGTATAAATGCGCGTGTTAATGCTAAGGAGATCCAGCCGCCGGCGCGGCCGGAGTGCCTCTATTCCCGGCCTATCGCCTATCGCTCTACTACCACATCGCTCTGTCCCTTCTCCCTCTTTTTCCCGACGTCTCTCGTGTATCTCGCGTATCGAGGTTTCGCAGACGCTCGATCCTACCGCCGACGACCTATTCCGCGCGTCACAAATTTCCGCAAACCGCGAACTTCTCGGTGACGAGCGTCTCTTACGTCCTCTTCGACGTAAATGGGGGCTTGATTATCCGTCATCATCGTCGTCGTCGTCGTCGTCGTCGTCGTCGCCGTCGCGAATCGCCCTCGGACGCTCAACGCACGCCGCGTCGTGGCGAATTCTCATTCGGTCCAATTCTAAATCTTGACGAATCCTATCATGTAGGATGTTGCGAAGTACTTAGGCTAGAAGAAGAAAAATTTTGATAGATATTATACATATATATATACATATATATATATATATATATATATATATATATATATATATATATAGTA